ATCAAAACATTCAAAACTATCAAACTTTGTCATCAAGAATCAAGAGAATCAAGAAAGTCAACAAAAGTCAAAATTGAAGATTTTCAAACACTTAGAAAAATTCAAGTGTTTTGTGCCTATAAAACCTAACTTCACAAGCAAGTTTCCTCAAGATACAAGTTGATTCAAGGAAAACTTTCAACATGAAAGTTGTAGGAGCTAATGAATTCTACAACTTTTAATGTGGGATGATCCTCAAAAAGTGCTTGGATTATGAGATATGGGCTCATGAAGTTCTGATATTTTTACCCAACACTTAGAAATATTTTGGATTAGCTTTTTATCTCAACTTCTTGGCCAATTTTCACCAATTTCCTTTTTTAATTAGCCAAAGTGGTCAACTTGAAATTTGTAGATCTTGTTCTAATATTTTCAAAATGTTCAAGAAAAAGAAAAGATCATGTTTGAGCTGAGAGTTTCGAAAAATTGAAGTTGGACATTTCTACTTGATTTAAAGGTCATTTCTTTGGTGGCTATAAGATCAAATCTCATAACATGCCTAGATATCTCACTTTGCAGGCCTCTAAACCCACAAATCTCTCCATAATCAGTTGATTTCACTTGTGAATAAGTAGTGTGCAAAAAATCAGCTCAAAAGAGTTAAATTTGGTTGCAAAAAGAAATGATTGAATATGATGAAAATTAAGTGGAAAAAAGAAGTTAAAAATGAGGAAAATGTGGAAAGGGGTACCACTGGAGCTCGAACCCAGGTCCCTCTAGTTATACGCGCGCATGGTTTACCACTGGGGTGGCTGTTTCATCCGGTTATGAAACGCCACCCATTAAATATAATATGAAACAAGTTTGAAAATTTTGAAAATCTGGTGCCATGGCCTTCTTCTTCTTCGTGACGAAGAACAACAACTCTTCCATTATCAATTTTGTAAATCCTTCATTTCTCAACCAAATCGAAAGTTATAAAGACCAAACTTGCTTGATTTTTAACGAGAAATTTAACCATATAATTTTCAAAAGCTATAGATTAAAGATTGGAACAAATTTTCTTTGGTACCAAACTGAAACTCTAACATTTCAGAAAACTCAATTCCAAAATTCTCATCACACATTCAATTAAAATGAAATTAAAGGACATGGATAACTTCAGTAACATGATGTCTACATTTTATCTTTAGAAAAAAATGCCAATGATGCTTGTATCAAGATTTCAAGGTTGGAGAAACTTACCTCTTGATGAAAAATCCAATGCCCTCTACACGACTTCCAGAAGCAATGTGATGCTTGCTTTAGCTTCCTGGGACCTTGGTGAGTATGTTGCAACTCTTGCTTTTCCTTGAGAGTGTCTAGATCGGTCTACTCAAGTTAAGTTGTAAAGTTGGATTTTGAAAATGGTGGATGTTGATAATGGAGTTACAGTGGAAAAACAAGGGTTTAGATCACTTATACATGATGTGTATGAAGTGTTTGGATGATTTGTTTGGAAAAAAGTTGTAAGGTTTGAGAGTTTCAATGGATTTTGAAAACTCAAGAAATGAGTTTTATGGCCAATTCGGGTTTGAGAGTGTATGAGAGGTTTAAAGGGCTTGTCAATTCGTGTTTTAGAACGCAAATGAAACCTATATCTATAGGCAAAGGTTAGAGGGATTGTACTGGTTGCAATCTGAAGATGTCAAGTTATGGCTTGGTTGGAAGTGAAATATCAAGTTATGGTGAAAATGGTGGTCTCAAGGATCAAGTATAAGTGTGCTCTAATGTTTGTTGGGTGAAGGGAGGTTGCTTCTTCTCTTTAGGATGAAGTATGATCAGAGGAAACAAATGAGGAGCTTAAAGCATTGACTTTTGCAAAAAGCTTTCATTATGTGAATGACAATGGTGCCTTTGTGCCATTAATGGAAAATTATCTTGGATAAAGCTTGAATCAAGTGGATAATAGTCATAAAGCAAGTGAAATCAACTAGTTATGAAGATATTTGTGGGTTTAGAAGCCTACAAAGTGAGATATCTAGACATGGTTATGAGATTTGATCTTATAGCCACCAAAGAAATGACCTCTAAATCAAGTAGAAATGTCCAACTTCAATTTTTCGAAACTCTCAGCTCAAACATGATCTTTTCTTGTTCTTGAACATTTTGAAAAGAGTAGAACAAGATCTAAAAATTTCATGTTGACCACTTTGGCTAATTAAAAAAGTAAATTGGTGAAAATTGGCCAAGAAGTTGAGATAAAAAGCTAATCCAAAATATTTCTAAGTGTTGGGTAAAAATATCAGAACTTCATGGGCCCATATCTCTTAATCCAAGCACTTTTTAAGGATCATCCCACATTAACAAAGTTGTAGAATTCATTAATCCCTACAACTTTCATGTTGAAAGTTTTCCTTGAATCAATTTGTATCTTGAGGAAACTTGCTTGTGAAGTTAGGGTTTTCTAAACACAAAATACTTGAATTTTTTATAAGTGTTTGAAAATCTTTAATTTTGACTTTTGTTGACTTTCTTGATTCTCTTGATTCTTGATGATAAAGTTTGATAGTTTTGAATGTTTTAATGGTTCTTGATTTTTGAATTCCAATGTTGACCATAAAGTCAAAGTTTGACTATTGTGTGATTGTTGACTTTTTATCAATTGATTTAATTCTTCAACTATCAATCACTTGTATCTTTGGAAATGTCTTGAGCTATGTAATTAGGTCAAGATGTTGTATTTGAGCCCTTGAGATCATGCTTTAAGCCATTAGGTCATGCACTAGGCCAAAAGTCAATGATCAGTCATCTTCAATCAAAATCCTAATTTGGCAGTTTTTGACATTTGATGATTTGAGGGCTTTCCTTGAGGAATCATGGTCAACCCTTGATCAAATGATGAATATCACCTCAAAATGTTGATGTTGACAAAAAATCATGAAGTTTGACTGTATGTTGACCATAGTTGACTTTTTACCTAATACAGTTGACTTTCAATCTTCTGAGCCATTGACTAAGCAAACATGTGATGCAAGACTTGAAGCTTGACATAAGCATTATTGAGGACCCATGATAAACCATGAAAGTCATTTGAGACCCTTGCAAACCAATCTTCCTTGAGAAGCACAAAACCCTAGCTGTAGACCCTTGCTTAGGAGGAGGTTTGACCAGTCAACTCTTGAGTAGCTTTGAGTATTTGAGACCTTTGTGAGCACGTTTTGAAGAAAATAGGAGGGCAAATTTTGTGGTACAACACATGTAAATCAATGATATATCATAAGCATCCATAATTCAGAACACTTTCAGAAAATCATAAATTTTGCATTTCAGGTTGCGCTAAACGACCACACGCGCGCTAAGCGGACTCTACGAAATGGAGAAATTTTTTGCTATGGACAGCTTCTGCCTCCTACGAATTTGTCCATCCAAATCTCATCCAAGCACATATATTTCACCAATTAAATGTATTATAACTTATATCTAACATATAGCATCAAATACAAACATCAAAACAGGAAATAGATTCCACATTCAAACCCTAACATGTCAAAATCTAGAAATTGAAGAATAAATCCCTAATTCATGTTGCTATCCATCAGTTATTATTACATACACTCATAAATCAATGAATATTCACCCTTACCTTAGATGTAGGTACTCTAGGGTTCTATCCTCTTCTCTTCTCCTTTTCTCCTCTCTTGTTTTCTTCACTTTCTCTTTCTAATTCTATATTTTCCTTATTTCGTTCAACTCTTACTAACTCTAAATGGGCTTAACTTCACTCCCCCACTCAAATGTAACATAAGGCCCAAATATGTATTTTGTTATTCTCACACTGAATAACATATAATACACACTTATTCCAATTAAATCAATTATTCACATAATCACACAAAAACAAATAATTAAATAATTAACAATCCAAATAATGATTAACATAACAATTAAACAATAAAATAATTAATAAAAGAAAATCAGAATATTACATATTGCATCGTGATAAAAAAGAAGAAAGATAATATTCAATTATAGAAAACCTATTGCTATGATTTTCTTTTATTGGTGTGTGGACCTATAGCTATGATTGTCCTTTGTTTCTTACTACTGTGCGTTTTAGAATGAAAGTTGGTTTTTTCTTGGGGTAAACTACCCACTAAAGTGCACATTATGGTAAATGCCAATACACATAACATCATCTTCCAAATTTTATCCCTCTATTTAAATAAGTGTCCACTTAGATATCAATATCAATTCTATACTAAATTATGTAATCAATTTTTACTGACAAAATAATAAAATGATAATAACACCTATTTCAACTAAGTATGATCAGCAAGAGGCTCTGTATTGTATAGTAATTAGTACAAGTGTATAACTGTACAAGATTGCTGAATAACATAACATTGTCCAAAATATTCACCACTTGATGCATGTGGATATGTATCAAATACAGTATCATACAAAATTCACCAGCCAAAGTATAACTGAATTCTGAACAACAACTCTAACCATGCACATGTGTAATCAACCTGTTCATCTTAACATCCCCCTTTTCTGCAACAAGATAATGGAAATTAGAAGTTGTCAATTTGTCATGCACTCACTTAGTTCATTATTTTTCTATATATAGTCCCTTCGTTTCAATCCTAATGTATATAGATATATAAACACATCAAACCAACAAAGATAAGGGAATATCTACATGCAAATTTATATTATTTCTAAGTTTGGCCTAAATATGATATAGAAACTTTCAGATATTAATACATGTCTTGACACCAGACACATCTTCAATCAAAAGTTTCAGACACTAATACATGTCAGATACCAGACACACCTTCAATCTGAGGTGTATGTGTTCTAGATTTACCACCAATATTATTAGCATACATGCAAAAAATGATACTGTAGCTTTTATAGAAAAGTTATTTGAAGGCCCAAATGACTTCTAAACTAGCTCATTGACACCAACGCATAAGTTTTACTTTTACCATCTAAAAATCTAAGTCCTCACCGAAACAAAAGGAAAATCTTAGAACCTATGAAGAAGTAGATGTAGAAGAACCGCTAACCCATTTGTCAGCAACAGAATCTGGTGAGCCTGGATAAGGACCCTTCTTCAAGAGTACAAGTTCATCTGTTCTAACAACAACATCGAATACTCTTGATTCCCGTGTTTCAAGTCCATCACTCTTGATTGCTCTTAATACCTCCACGACCTCATCCATTGAAGGTCTCATGTCTCTTTGCTGCTGCAAACATCTAAATGCCAATTCACCAACTGCTGTTGTCATCTTCCTCACAGCACTGTCTTTTTCATATCCAAGAAATGGATCAACTAACTCATGCAATTCTTGGCCCTGAATCTTGTTGACAGCCATATTCGCCAAGTTCACGTCGCTGCGGTGCCTGGTAATATCAACAGCTTGTAACGACGATATAAGCTCGGCTAAGATTACGCCAAAGCTATAAACATCACTCTTGTCAGTGAGTTGGTAAGTTTGATAATACTCAGGATCAACATAACCAGGTGTTCCTTGTGGAGCTGTTGATACATGCGTGACATCGCTCGGAAGCCACCTTGACAGACCGAAATCAGCAACCTTAACATGAAATTTTTCATCTAGGAGAATGTTGTTGGATTTAACGTCACGGTGTATGACATCGGATGCATGGAGATAGGCTAGTGCTTCAGCTGTTTCTAGTGCAATGTTCAATCTTACGGACCAAGGAAGTAAATATGAACTTGATTGCTTCCCGTGAATATGATCAGCTACTGTTCCATTTGGTATGTACTCATAAACAAGGAGAAGCTCTCTGCTGTGTTTAGAGGAGCATCCATAGAGTGTAACCAGGTTCTTGTGCCTTAACTTCGCTAGAATCTCAACTTCATTCATGAACTGCGCCACACGCTTATAATTGCTTTCGTAATGGCGTTTCACTGCAACCACACGTCCATCTTTGAGATCACCTGATCAAAAGTCAGAATATATATAGTTTAGAAAGAAAATCCGAAAGCAAGAGGAAATCTGTTATTTGAGAAAATGTTAATTACCTTTGTAAACTGTGCCAAAACCTCCATCTCCAAGTTCTTTAGAGGCGTCGAAATTGTTGGTAGCTTCTTCTAGCTCATCATAGGTAAATACCTGAACACCAAAGTAGAAACTCTTGGGCATTGCGTCCAATTTGGAAGAGGGGTAAGAAGGAAAACTCTGAGACGAATTTGTAGTGGAGGTTAGAGTGCCGGTGCCAGTGCCACTGCTTGAAGAAGGCATGAAGGGGACCCTGCTTCTAGATTTCTCAAGATTTTTCTTTCTTCTCCGCACCACTAAGCATGCAAAGCCAAGAATGCAAACAACGGCTGCAACTCCTGCAACTATGCCGCCTGAAGATAACACTAGACATCAGTAAAATTTTACTTCTAAAATCTAAACTCAATACATTTATCAGCTAAATGGGGATTACCTATTACAGGGCCTTTAATAGAGCTTTGACCTGCAACATAAAAAAATTGATGTCAGAACAAAGAATCAGACAAGAATAGAAAAGGCGTCGAAAAAAACTAGCGAGCAAGTTTCATGTTCTATTGTTCCAATAACAATAGAAAAACATCTTAAGTCTAACTAGTCCATACTACTAACAACACAATATCTTAAGTTTTCGTTATTAGAACAAATCATCTTTAAGATCATGGTTTTAAATTGAAGTATACAACTTGAAGGTAAAGATTCAAATGCAATTTTTCACAATGCAAACAAGACTAACACAAGAATCATTCTTAAAACCATTAGTTTTACATGACATATGAATCATCATCAAACACCGAACACAAGAATCAACCAAAAAGAAAACCTAGAATACCTGGAGGACACAACTCATTACCACAAATACAAATGGATTCATTATCATCAGAATCAAACCCGCATTCTTGGCCACCAGAATCAATACATTCAAAACAATCATCATCAAAGGGATTGCTATAACTCACATTAAACCCTTTCATCAAAACCTCCCTAAGCAAAGAGCGATTTCCTATAAACCTATTAGCCTGCTCTTCAAGAATTGGCACACCAACACCTTCATCACATTCAACAAAACTAAGAACTGGGTCCAAAGGAAATGGACCAATCAAAGAATATGAATTATTCTTATACCCATTACTTTCACAGTAAAACAAATTCTGCGGCGTTTTGGTAAATTCCGAAGTGGGTTTGCACCCATAAAACAAAGTAAGGTTACGGTTTCCCGAACCGTAGCTAAAGCTAGTTCCATCAAAAGTCGAGTTAATATAATTTTGGGTACATGTTTCGTTCCAAAGGTCTAATCTAGCTAAGATGAGAGAATGAGTTACCGAGTTAATTTGAAGAACTCGGTAACTCAATGAAGAAATGTTCAACTCTGAAACATTGTTTTGGCAGTTCAAGTGAAACTGTGGCGGCCCACAGAAGGAAGGACGATCACCTCCAGTGAAAGGGTAGGAAAGGTTGGTTATGGTTCCGCAGTTGAAGGTTGTATTGTTGCAGCTAGAAAGTGATGCATAAGAGGGTAACGACGCTGTATGGTGGAGAAAAAAGATGAAGAAGAAGATGATGATGGTGGTGGGGGTGACAGGAGAGGAGATGGACAAGGACAACATAGTTTGTTGTTCCTTAATTTGTGTTTTGATGAAATTCGCAACCATAGAAGAGTTGTTATTACTTGTTGGCTTTAGAGTTATCATGATTATGATATGAGTAATGAAAAAAGAAAAGAAAAACATGAAGATGAATTTTGTTGACTAAGATGTCATGTGAACAATAATATATTATCTCTAGATTGAGATATTTAAGCTTAATTTAGCAGCCAGATTAGTGTTTTTCTTATATTATTCTATGGTCAAATAACAGTAACTGTACTCATTTAGTTGAATGGAGGCTATTCAAAATCTAGAACTATTTGGTTGAATGGTATTGGTCAATATAGAACACATAGTTTGGAAGTTTTGGCAGGTTCACATGATGGAACTGGCTGCTTGATTTTTACTTTTTTTCTATATTAAGGAACAATTTGACATATTACTAATCTTAATTCTGATACTATCGACAACAACACGAAATTTAAGATGTAGTTTTGTAAGAAAATATTTCATGTGACTATACTACATGTACTCACCTGATCTACTACATGAATGTGGAAAGGATCCATCTTTACAAAAGCATGTGAAATCCTTTGAGATTGGATCATAACCACAGTGTCCACTAGAGCTTTGACACTCATGACACAAACTATTATTTGCATTCCATTCCACTTCAAAACCATTATCAATAGCAGCCTTTAAATTTTCCACACTTGAATCTGTCACTACCTTTTCAGCTTCTGACTCCGAAATTGGAACAATCACTCTAGATTTGCATGTTCCAATTGATTCAGAAACCGAACCCTCGCTGTTCTCAAGATTACTCTCCAACAAAAAATAGTTAATCATTTGAGTTCCGTTTATGCTACAATTAAACTGGGGAGAAAAACTATCTGGTATAGGAAATGGAGTGTAAGGACAATCATAGTAGAGTATCAGGTTCCGGGAATCCGAACCGTAATCGAAGAAAGTTCGTCCTAAAGTCGCGTTCTTAGGATTGGTTGGACAGACGTTGTTCCAATAATCAGTTCTTACAATTTTGAGTCTATGAACAGAATCAAAGACTTCAAGAATTCTATAACTTTGTGACATAATGGTAAGGGTTGCAAATTCATCTTTGCATTGTAGCTCAAAAGTTGGGTGGCCACAGTACTGCGGTCTACTTGACCTCCAGAAAGGATACGTCAAGTTTTTTAGATTTGCACAATCAAAAGAAGAACTGCATTTTTTGTACTGCTGTAAATCATCAGCATAAGATGTTGCGATTTGATTTAGGATGATTGTTAAGAACAAGAGTGAGAAAAATATGCTTGGACGAAGTAGTTGCATCTTGAGGAAAACCCAGAAAATTTTGAGGTAAGTTGATGTGAGATTATGATAAGTTTTAATGTGTACTAGTAGTATTGATGCAAATGAAAATTTAGGTCACCTATATAGTAATAGTACGTGTATTTTTTTTACCTAACACTGATGGAAATGAGAGAAATTGTATGAGTGGATGGGTGGAGTAAAACAATTAAGTTTAGAAAATTGTAAAGTTGGTGTTTAACTACTCTAAACTACTCAAGCCTACTTAATGATTATGATTCATGAATTGATCAAAAGTCAAAAGTGGAGTGATATGTTTCAACTTTCAACCAACAATAAAATAAAAGTGGCAAAATAATATTTGTGATCAATTTCTTTGATACTGGTGGTGACAAAAATAATAAAAGAATGACTAAGTATTGGAATTGGACCGAGTAAAAGTCTAGGCTTTGTACAAAGATGTGAAAAGGCAATGGCTAGGTCAAAAAACTACTATGTAGGAAATGGTCAAAGAGGAGAACTTGTACGTATCTGAAAAGATCAAACAACTCTTTTCTGTTGCAACTCGGAGAACAATTGGATTATATTTAACTTGGTAATTGGATTAATGCAAATCACACACTAGTTTGAAGGAACAATCAAGTTAAATGCTTATATTTTTAATGGCAAACCTCAAATATATGAACTAAATCCGATGTAATTAGATAGGTTCAAATGTGATGTAAATTTGTTTGGAAGTTATCGAGCCAAATCAACTCTCGAAATCCAACTCATTTAAACTTTGTAAAAAAACATGAGCGAAGAAAGTGATATTTTAGACATACTTGAGGGTGAGAGCACTTGTGAAAGGCATGAAGTTGCATGAATTCCATCAGGGCAGAAACATCTGAATAGAGTGTTTCCTTCATTCCCACATGCTCCACCTGAAGTAACGCACCTCTCACATTCCCCATAGTTTCCGCTCCATTTCAACTCAAAACCGCTTTGTAATGATTTTTTTAATACATTGCTCAGTAGTCCATTGCCAGATCCCAGTTGTTGAGCTAGGCTTTCCAAAATTGGAATCACGACAGTATGAGTCGGAGCACAGAAGGCAGAGAATGAATCAGAATAAACAACGGTGTAGACAATATATTTACTTTTGCCACAGTCAATATCATAAAATGGAGGCAGTACATTTATAGCTCCAACATTGCAACCGTACAAGAGAGTTACGTTAGCAACATCATTGTAACGTTGAAATTTAGTACTGTTATCAAATGTGCTGTTCTGGCCATTGTTATTCCCAGCACAGACATCACCATCTGAATAATCGTCTCTAGCCACTGTGAGTATCTGTGTTTTATTGTCCCATCCAAGAATACGATATTTAAGGTTATTGATTGTGATCTTTGAAACTTTATTTTCGCATGTAAGCTTCGTAGTAATAGAATCAGCAGCAACACCACCACAATAACTTTCTCTGCTTTCTCCCCAGAACGGATACTTGAGGTCTTTGATATTGTCTTCGCAGGAAAAAGCGGTGTTACAGTTTGTGTACTCATCATCCTCGCATAGACACGTTGGAATATTGATGAGGAAGATCATCAAAAGTACCGCATAGAAAAAGCAAAAAGAAGATGGATGAAACAGAGGTTTCATTATCGCAGCCGAAGAAAAAGAGAATGAAAGAAAATGAGTAGAAGAATGAAATAGGCTTGGTTGAAATGAAGCAAAGCAAACAGGGATATAAATTAAAGAATGAAATAAGCAAACTACTTGTTGATAGACGGAAAAGATTGAGTATATATTGAATAATAACCAAGTCGTGTGTTTCACTTTCAAAAGGTGGAAAATTTTAATTTAAAGAGTTCATTCAACTTCTAGGAAACAGCAAATGCAGAATTTTTATTACCTCAGCACAGACCAGTATTCTATATTTCATGTTTGTCAGATTTCAAACTTCCATGCTTCCAGAAGGATAGTGGCCCATTGTTGACTACGTTTTTATTAGTCTCTTGAGAAATTGATCAAAACCGTGGAATACGTGTTTACTTCATTAAATACCTTAACACTTCATATAGATTTATAAAAAAAGTTTTATAGACACCAATTTTCTCCACACCTCACATATAATAAAAAGAGCCATGATGCTAACACAAAACAAAAATGCCGCAATTGCTTGGACACCTATATCATTCTGCCAAAAGTTTATAAATTCAGTTTTGCACTATTTAAATGTAGATTCAAAATATTAAAGAATAACTCCAACAAAAAAAAGAAAAAGAATAATCTCACTTTTTTACATATCATTTTCTGACTACAAATCAATAAATTTATATTTTTATATTCCTTTTTATTTTTCTATAATATTTTCCATTATTTATGAGTTGAAAGATAGTGCATTGACTATTCAAATAATTTTATACTGTCATCCAATTAAAATTCATCATTTAGTCCTGTTATATAATTTATTTAAAAATAACAATATGATTTGTCACTTAATATGATTGTCATTAGTTGACAGTATAAAATTATTTTACACTGTCAATACATATCTATTTTTCTCTTTATTTATTATTTTATTTTATTTTATTTTATTTATTTATTTTTCTTTGATAAATAATTAAAAATATATAATTTTTTTTATTTAATTTTAAAAAGAACTAATAAATAAAATCAAATTTTTCTGTTAATACTACAAATAAAATAAAAAAGGTGAAGCAGTAGTTTTGTAGATCCACTTAAAATTATGAAATTAAAATAGCTCATTATGGTTGCTATAGCAATTTTGAAATGTAGTCAACTTAGGCGGTCTACTCTAAAACTTGGGTATAGACAAACAAAAGGAATTATCACTACGCCTTCCTTTTTAAAATGAATATTATTTTAGAGAAAAAAATCATTTTAAAATGAATTTTATTCTCACTCTTCAATATAGAAGTAATTATTATTTTTTCAATTGTGTTATTTAATTATTATTATATATATTATTTCTAATACATTAATAAAATTAATTTAATAAAAATACAATATTTTATGACATTATCATTATATTCTTTAATCTATGTGTAAAAATATTAAGCAACACTCATTTTAAAACGGAAAAATATTTATTTTTCATTAAATAAATGTGCAGAATAGAAGTTAAAAAGACTTCAAATTAAACAACTTATAAATACGGTATAAAAAAACATCATCTATAACTATTAATTTAACATAAAAAGAGAGAAAAAAAACTAATTAAAAATTGAAACCGTACATACACCCTATACAAATAGGGTGTTGGACACCTAAAATGAGTGTCAACCTAACATTTCTCAAAAACTAGAGACAATAATATCAACAAACAACAACAAAAAAAAAATTAAAAAAGACAAAGGAGTTACTCTCTCTAGTCTGTATTATGAAAAAATATTTAGATTCTATAAACTATGAATACTTTTGATTTGTTTTTTTTAATATATCTTTAACAAGATAAAGATGAAAGTTAATCACAACTGTTTATTATATAATCGCAACTTATTGATTTATATACTTTCTCCTTTCAATGAGCATGACTACGTACTTTCTTTAGCTAAGAAAAGGAAATTCTCTATCTTTCAGGAAAACCAACAACACACAAGTTTTCAATTTTATTGACTGCAACAAAAAATCTAGCCGTAGTTAATGAAACTTGTATTCAACGTAACATTTTAGACTCATACCGCAAAACGAGGGCAGAGTACATTCAAGTCTAGCATCTATGATAACAGTAACATCATTTACACAGGGTGACCACCATGTATATGGAATTTGACCATAAAAATGATACATGGGAGTTTTATTCTAGCAAGCACCTTTGTAGACAAGAGTGATACCTAAAAATTGTTCAAAATATCATCATCCAAAATAGAAACTCATTTCTCTTTATCTTAATGACTCAAACTATGGATGGCATGAAAAAAATATTACTCCCTCTGTCCTAAATATAGAGGTCTTTTCATCTCATTTTTTTCTTCCCTCTAGATTTCTGTATTCCAAAATCTTTCTCCTTTCTCTAGTCTCTCTATAGTCTCTGCTTCATCTAAAAATTTCTTTTTGTATTTTATTTTTGAGTGCCTTCTTCGCATCATCTGCGACTGAATAAAAATCGGATAATAAAAGTAGTATTTATATTTTATTTGACTGATCATAGTGCCACCAGAGAGTGTAATTATAAGTCAATTACATATCGTGCAAATAATAATCGTACAGTATAAAATTGAACTATTTTATCCTGGAGGCATCGTGGTGAAGTGACTGCTTTAAACAATTTTAAGATGTATCACGAAACGTCTTAAAAAGAACAACCTAATTCACGACTTGACCCGATATTTTCTCTAATGACAATTTTTTTCAAAACCATAAAATAACAAATAGTATTTAAATAATATTTAAATAAGAAAAAGACTAATAATTAATGTTACTTTTCATACAACTTCAGACTTCACAAATATCAAAATTAGTCAAGAAGACTTTTTTTTCTCTTTACAAATTTTCAATTTTCTCATCAATACATAAATGGCTCTTTCAAGTTTTTTGTTGGTATATGTTATGAGAAAGAGAATGTTCAACCACGGAATTAAGGGGATATATTTTTTAAGTTTGAAAGAAAAACGAGGTTCTGCCACACATTTGTGGAATGACTTGACATCACAACTCACCTATTGGGACGACAGAGTGTGGAAAAAAATATCTATTCCATCCATCTCTTTCCATGCAATTTCATCTCAACATAATTTCATTTTCTCTAAAAATTTATTAGCTTTTGATCTTTAGACTAACTATTCAACTATTAAATATGTCATTTTAACAAGAAAAAAAATGTCTTTAGTTTCAAAGCTACACAAAAGCCAGAATCCAAAGGGACAACCTTAACCTATTATTTGAATTGGCCAACTGATAAGTAATTTGGGTTTGGATTTCGGTCAAACTGAATAAACAAATACAAATGGTTTTGGCACTAAAAAACTGTTAAGTGCTTATGAACAAGGATCAAGTTGCTTCCTATCAAGATCAAACGACTCAAATTTCAATCATGTTTTTTTACAGTTGATGTGCGAGCTGTCCGATCTTGATCAGACACTTTGCAATACGTGATCATGGAAATCCACTTCACTAAGAAAACTATAATGTAAACAAGTTATGGAGAACAAGAAATGTAATTAGCATTTAGTAAAAAATCTTTTGACATACCTGAAGGCGGAAGAGATTCCTGAGACTGTCGAGGTGGACTAGCATCAGGTACAAAATTAGAACAAGATTGACCTCTGCAGTAGCAGGTTGGTTGATTTGAAGTAGGATTATAACCACAAAATTGACCTGATTTTAGACACTTCTTACAATATTCAATACCTGCTACCCATTTCACCACAAATCCATCTTCAATGGCCCTTTGTATTTTAATGAAATCCTGAACATCATTAAATAGAGTAGAAACTGGAACAACCATACTTTCTTTGCATGGGAAAGCTTGAACACCAATATTAGAACCAAACCAAGTATAAACATATTCATCAGGAAAACCATTTGAGAGACATGAAAAGCGTCCACTTCGAGAAGGGAAGGCAATTGAAGGTAGACAATCATAGAAGAAGGTAAGATTATTGTATTTAGAACCATAAACAAAGATCTTAGTGTTTAATGTTGTGCTGACATGTTTTGCTGGACACGGACCTTGCAAATAGTCCTCTCTGGTGATTCTTAAAGTATGTTCATTGGGCTTGGCTTCTAAAATATGATACTTGACATCATTGATTGTTATGTAACTGATGTTGTTTATGCAAGTGAGTTGCAACAAAGGGTAGCCACACTTTTCTGGTCGCTCCTCTCCCCAGAAAGGAAAACCAATTTGTGTTATATTTCCACAAGTAAACAGATTTTCACAACCTTCACCAGAGCTCAAGTACAAAGGTATCTGAATCAGTTTCAAGAGAATTATGAATTGAAGGATGTGGAGGATATTAAACAGAGAAGCCATTCTGAGAGAGAAAAGAACTAAAATATCTGCAACCACAAAGTTGAATGTGCATAGAGTATAAGAATCAAATGAAGGATGTAGTACAAAATGTCAACAAAAAAAATGCGTTTAAGAAAATTCATAGTGACCAACTTGTAGAAAAAATCCGGTCATGTAGTTGACTTATGCAGCGCATTCAATTAATTAGAAAAAGACCAGCTAGTTTCCCTAGATAATTGATTTTTTTATGTGGGATAGATGCCCTTATACTATGTGAAGAAAGCTATTCTTAATTCTCAGCTACTTATTACAACTAATTGACCAAATCAAATCTTTAATATCAAGAGCGTAGAGTGCAAACATCTAAAAAAAAATCATAAGTTTATATCGTTTAGAAGCATGCTTTCCGAATATACACTTCCGAAATAATGGATGATGATTTTAGAAATGTGGAGAGTGGAGTGTTTGAAAAGTAGCCTCTATCAATATCAATCTCTTTAATATGCACAATTCTTCTAACTCGGAGTTTAACTTTGCTCCGGACCAACTTATAACTCGTGGGCATGAACATCCATGAGTAAGACAACCGTTGATTCTTTATACCCAAATAAGAACTGTAATTGAGATAAAGAGGAATACACATTAATGTCAAGAACCATATATAGCAAACATTGACTTTCCATAGCCTAAAAGATTGTAAGATTCCAAATTTCATAACATGATTATATATCAAACTCTCATTCAATATATAAACCGAAAAATGATCCTAAATGGGATTAAGTCTCACAAAGCATTAAGAAGGGTGATGAATATCAAATAACAAAATAAAGTAAATCGAGTCAAGAAATACAAAAATAAATTGAAACTCACTCAACCTAACAAAGGGAGTTTAGTTCAAAATCATAGCAACATAAAGCACAAAGAAAGTAAAGATAAGGGCAAAGAAATTCATGCACGAACTAGTCAAGCTTCCGCTAATCCTCTCTTTTTGTTCGTCAAGATCTTTTGGTGGGATTTGTAAAATGTATTTGAATAGTCTTGATAAACAAAATAAAAACATAACTCGTAGATGACCTTGGATGCTAGGCAACGCAACTTATAGGCCTCAATGTAGCCACCTAGTGGTCAATTTGGAGGCCTTGCCTGTGAGTGTGGCTGCATAGCAATGATCAAGACAGCTTTCTCCACTTCATTCGGTCCTTTCACTCTTCAACTTTTGAATTTCAATTGAGCTCTTTATTCCCCTGAAAGCATAAATACAATAAATGAGACTCAAAACCATTTAAATATAACATGTACTGAAGAAATCAGTTTACACCATCAAAAGAAATCTAAGACTTCCTAAAGGAAAAAACAATGTTAAAAGTTGGGAGATTAAATTAAAAACCACTCTAGTAGCAAAAGAAAACTGATAATCTGATGAATAACTGCCACTCTAATCTTAAAACTTTGTTTGTCCTCAAGTAAAAAAGAATTGTTGCTCTAGAGAATAATCAACAGCTCAAGGAAACAAAAATGAACGAGTCATATGTTTCCTACCAGAGTGACACTCTTGGTTTTAGGCGTGTATGTGTATGTTTAATACGTGTTGGACACTGACAGTTTTCAAACATCTCATGTCTAAAAAACTTTTTTTTTTTGCTTTGACACACCTCAGACATTCTTCGAACATAACTACGTATTTTATTTATTAGGAAATTGATAATTTATTGCATATGCATGTCTTCTAACATACACAAGTCTTCTTCATTCTTTCCTGGTTTCTCTTTTTTGGTCTCCTATTTTGTCTATGATGACCCTCTTGATTCTCAGCTTAGATATTTTATACATGAAGCCCATATTTATTTTTATTAATTAATATATATATGGACATTAAGAGTTTCCAAGTGCTCGTGTTTGTGTCATGTTACAAGTACGTGTCTGTGCTTTCTGAAAAAATAATCACCCATGCATTCTTAAGAGCCTTACCTTTAACTGTGTAACCTGAATTTAAAAGAGAACTAGAAGCAAGAATCGTAACAGCTACTCACTAATTAATCACGACTTTTAAGAGTTAAAGAACTTGACTCAGAATATATAGCAATTGGTATCAAGAACATTTTTTTAGGAAAAATTAACTCTTTCGCTCTAGAGTTTGTGTTCCACTTAGTCAGCACTACGATTTCCACACTCCAAAATTTGAATTTTCTTTTTTCTTTAATCACAGACATTCATGCACAAACCTTCATTAACAAAAGAACCAAGAGGGTCTAACACAAACTAAAAATGGAATTGAAATATAAGAGAATTAGGTATACTCAAGAATGAATGGGATACACACGTTCTTACTGTTACACACAGATGGGTTACACGCATTCTTACTGTTACAGAATTGAAAGATTACAGACTTCAATAAAGGCAAGACACATTACACACAAGTATACACACATTCTTACTGTTACAGAATTGAAAGATTATACAGACTTCAATAAATGCAAGAGACAGTTCTACAAAGTTTTGAGAGCTTGGTTCTCTCCCACCCAATTAACCACTTACTAATTTCTGGATAAATCTGTAGTTCTGATATTTCTTTATTTATTTCTAGTAGAAACCGAATTATGGCTTACAAATAATTGCTTACAAAAATCAGAAACTATCACAGACAGTTATGGCCGGTCAGTTACAACCTCTCCTCTTATAACAATTATTAATAAGAGGTCTAACAGAATGATCAGAACTTCACTCTTTTTTTCAGCTCTTTTTCATTCCCTTTTTGTATTATTCCCGTTTTGCAAATAGAAGCTGAGGGAGGGCATCATTTCTATAATATGAGGTGGGATACCAAGAAGAATGTAATGGAAGTATGAAGCAGTTGTAAGTCTTCTGAAAAAACCGTAAGTATATTTATGTCCCACCTACTAACTTAAAATTGCCTTTTATGGTGCCTTGCATTCAGGGCTTTAAGTGGTGGGATATTATTCGTTATACCAGTTAACTTTTCCCGTAACAGATTTGACGCTCCTAGCTATAAGTTTAAATGATGTTTCTATCTTGCTTGGATTTAGGACTTTTTCCCCCTCTCCCCCCCCCCCCCTGCCACTCTTTTGTATTTCTTTTTTATTATATTAAATATTTTGTTGCCTAGCTATAGATGATTTTCTATAGCGAAGGTGCCAACCTAGTTAAGAACTTTCCTATCTTAGTGATGCCTTTACGCTTCAACGTTTGCATAAAAAAATTCCCCACCTACCAATTTCAAAATAACATACTTCAACAACTTGTTAATTGGATACTAAGCAACTTTAGGCCTGGACCAAGCAAGGACAAGAACAAGTCAGTAGACAGAAGCTGACTTTGTTTGCATGCCCAATTAAATAAAACTAAAACTACACTTTCTATTGTCTACACTGGTTTAATTCAAATCTAAACAAAATAAATCACTGCATCTAAATATTTATTTGAACATTTTTAATTGTTGTGAAAGTAATCTAGTTTTCCGTTGTACTATTTTTTACTTCCCATGAGTGCACTTGCTTAATTGTATTGCCGCCTTGGTTTTCATTCTGGTGCCTTTCAATCACCTAGCCTCTCATGACCACTTTGTTATTTTTTATCATATATTCCCAAAATCTTGCCATTATGCTCCAAGTCCAACGATGACACCTTTAACATAACACGACGTACAAAGATCTATCAAGCAAATAAAGTTTAAAAACTTAAATTGTTTACCTGTCTATCTTTTGGGGTAGACCTTCTCCTTGCATGCCGACATGTTTCTTGATCTGAAGAAACAAATTTTGCTTTGTCGAGCTCGAGCAGTCCCTGTTATTCACATATTAATCACTAATGAAATGAATAAATAAATAAATAAATAAATAAATAAATAAATAAATAGATAGATAGATAGATAGATAAAAAAGACTAAGCTTTTACACAATCTAAAAATAGATTATAGAGTGAACACAGAAATACTTGAAGCATAACGACTAGGAACAAACAAAAATAACAAAAGAAGTTAGAATATCTTTATATTTAATACTTCAAGTTCAGAAATTATTGAAAAATACATACAAGCAACATAGTTATTAACTGTAAAAGTGCTCACTTCAGTAATATCTAACTGTATTATAGAACTGCTAACCAACCAATACCTGGTGAAGAAAAGCTTTGGACGAACATAGAATAAACAAAAGCTTGAGATACCATCAGTGATGTAAATCAAACCTCCAGCAACGTTTACTGAATAAGAATGTGCTTAAACAACGTGAAATTAGTCTACATGAGGATTATTTTATACTGTATGTGATATTCATCGTATTCTCGCTCATGCCAGCCTCAAGGTGACATTAGTTTATATCAGTATCAAGTGCCGATAAAGTCTTTTCCCTTTATTTCCAATATGGTAATTGTTTGTCATCCTTTAAGGATGAATGAATGGATAGAAGTCAAATGGGTAAGGTTTCACTTTGTCAAAGGAACAGAATCCATATCATGCTTTCTTAAGTTTCTCTTCCATCACTCCACATAAATGTCTATTTTTCTGCAATAATTTCGGTCCTGACAAGAGCAAGGAGCATTGGCAGATTTTCAACATAAATTTCGCACAGTCTATATTGCTTTGCATTGCTTCTAGAGTTTCTTGTGATCCATGAATAATATTTCACTGACCAGAATATATCTTTTCCTCTGTTTCCACCCCTACCAAATATTCTAGTCAATGCTGGAAATGCTACAAAGCCCTGACATAAAATTTCATTATGAAAACCAAATATTTTCCTCCTCAGACATCTTAAAATGAAGGCTTAAGCCACTCATGTGGTCTACAAGATTTTCCATCATCAAAAGAATGTCATTCATTCTACTGTTTGACTTATCTTGCGCTTCAAATCTGTGGACTTTGTTCTTTACTTCAATCCAACTACAACCAGGATTTGGCTTTAGACCTTTGTCTTTCATCAATTTCCGCACTCGAGCTACATGAGTCCACCAACCAACACTTGCATACAGATTTGCCAGCTGTAGAAGTGTCGCTGCGCACCCTGGTTCCAACGATAACCTGCTTTCCGCTGCTCGGATGCCAATCCAAACACTTCCATGAAGTCTAGAGGAAGAAAGCAAGGAACCCCATATCACAGCGTTAGGACAGACAGGCATATTTTTTATGAAATCAAGAGCCTCAAGAAGCAAACCAGCCCGACCAAGAAGATCTACAATACAAGAATAGTGATCTAGCTCTGGCTGCAAACCATGATCAACCATGGAACTAAAGTAAAATTGACCTTCTCTAACAAGACCTCCATGCCGACACGAGGATAAGATACCAAGGAAAGTTACCGCATCTGGATTAACACCTTGCTTGGTCATCTCGTCAAAGAGACATATTGCCTCTGGTGCAAGCCCATGGTGTGCATACCCAACAATCATAGAGTTCCATGTTACAACATCCTTATTCACCATGTTTTCAAATATATACAATGCATCATCAATTGCCCCACATTTAGAATACATAGCAACAAGAGCATTGTCAACATGAAGATAACAAAGAAAACCCACTCGAATTATTTGACAGTGAATACCCTTCCCATGACCAAGTGCTCCACTGCTCATACAAGCACTAAGCAGACTAGTGTAAGTAAAATAATTAGGTTCCAATTCCAAACTCCTCATCTGACGAAAGAGCTCCAAACACATATCAACCCGCCATTCTTGCGCAAACCCAGCAATGATCGCCGTCCACGAAACTACATTTCTCTCAGACATTTCATCAAACACGCAATATGCATCCCTTAACAAACCACATCTACCATACAAACTTATCAAAGAGCTTCCAACATAAACATTAGCAATAAACCCAGTTGTGATCGCCAAACAGTGATATTGAATTCCTCCATAAAGATCACGTTTGTACCCACATGAACTCAAAGCATGGGACAAAAAACATACATCAATTCCCAATCCTTGTTCCATATCTAGAACTGAGGACTCAACAGTGGGTTGAGTAACAGTTTTTAAAATAACTGAATTATCATCACCAAGAGAATTTATGGCAGTGTTGTCTAAAATGTCTTCAACTAGCCTAAGATGGCTTCGACGATTTTCAATATCAGTGACAGTTATTTTGGGTGATACGAGTTTGAGAACTCTTAGAGCGTTGGTTAACACTTTGTTTGGTTTTTTGGGTCCTGATTTGTGGAAAGAGAAAGGCCTAAAAACTTGATTTTTGTGGTAAAGTGTTGGGATTGTGTTCCTTGCTAGGAATGACAGTGATTTTGCCATTCTTATGGGATACATAGAGCATGCCTGAGTGAAACTTGAGACACAGACAAACCACGACGTTAAGTTTGATTCAAATAGTGGACATTCATTCGGACATTTTGGTTGGAGGGAGGAATGATTTGCTTTTGTCAACGAAAAAAATATATTGTATACTTGTAAATATATTTTCTATACTTTTTTTAAATTAATTTTCATTTTATTTACTAACAAAGAGAAAATACTTACCTCAACACAAATTTAATAAATGGATTCAGAGAAATAACCAATCATAACTTTTTTATTAATTAAAAAATAAAATAAGTTTTTTCTCTCCTTTCTTATCACAATCACTATGTAATTTCAATTAAAAAATAAATTAAATTTAAAAATAAATTTAAAATTTTTTCTCTCTTTATTGATTAATTGTTCTTAAAAATATAAATTTATGTACATTTTCATACAAGTAGTTTTTCCATCAAAGTTAATAATAATGGTTTTCAATATTTTTGAAAATACATCATTGTCATCTACTTCTCCCATTTTTAATATAAATAGTTTTTATATATTTTGAATATGAAAGAGTATAATAATTATTGTATAAAAAGCTAAGAAGAATTTTATAAAATTATTCTTTATTACTAATTCTATTAAAAAGATAAATTACAATAAAGTAAATTATTTGGTATCAATAACTATAAGTTTTAGTTGGGAACTAATAATTTTAATGAAAATTAATTTAAATCTTATTTATTTTAAAATAAAATAAATAAAAAAGTATGTGATATTAAATAATATTGTTTTTCACTGTATCAAAAAAATTTGATTAACTTATGTTTTTATTTCTTTAATTTATAAATTAAATGATTTATCTCTTCGGTTTTTTTAATAATTGAAAGATAAAATAAATAGATTTTATTATAAAAGTATTTGTTAAGTAAATTTTACTCTAAATCTAGTTTATATGTTGCTGTTCTAAAATTTATTCTTGAACAAAATATTTTTTATGCTTTTGCAATCTATCTCAAGTGCAGAAAAAACATCTTTCAATGTTTGAAACAAATAATTTTTTAGAAGTTGGATGCATCTAAACCATTGAGCTTAAAAAGAATGCACATAAAATCAAGATTACAACAAAGATTTGTTGTTATAAATAACAACAACGATGATAAATCTGGATTTATTGTAATCAATGTATTTTAACATTCTGTATAAACAAAGTAAATTAAAAAAAAGAAGATATTCACCTTGACTTTCTACTGAAACCGAGGGGTTAACATATTTTATCTCGGTTTTTGTCAAAATCAAAGGGATAATTTAGTGTGATTATTGAGGAAATAGATCAACATCCTTAAACAAATCTTTGTCGTTCATTTCATGACTATCAACACTCAAGACACTACTATTACTGATCCACGTGAAACATAAAAAACTTTCATTATAAAAATATTATGAATATTAAAATTTTATAATGAAACATCATGAAGCGCTTGAAACTATCTACATCCACCACTTTAAGGTTTGCAAGAGTATTTGCCAAGAAGACTTATCTATGATGGATTGCAAGAGCAGAAAATTATTTAATTTTAAGGTTTGACTTCTTAAATATTTATTTGAGTAGAAAATATTTTATTTATCTAACCTTTTTTTTTGTTTATATCAGAAACAAATGCAAGAAAAAGAAATTGAAAATATAATGGCACCCATCATTTGATGTTGTCCATAATATCAAGCATCTGAAGATCCAACATATGTTCTTCATGGACAAATTAATTTTTATTTTATTATTTTGTGTAAATAATGTAATATTCTGGGTAAACATTGTAGTTTGTAAACAAATTATTTTATCAATATTATGTGTAAACAATATAACAAGTTGTAAAAGAAAATATATCTTACCCATGGTTTTACTAATAAACCGATATGTTTGATCCACTAGTTTTGAAAATAATAAAAGTGTAGAAGCTAGGGTTCAAACCCTGCACAGATAACCTTACCCTTTGGTTTTTAAAACACCGAGGTATAAAATGACAGTTTTTCATGACGCTCTTCGTTACCTCGCTTCTGTAGCTGAGGTTAAATGTATTTCGCGTCCAAGGGGAAATGTATTATTTGTAGTAGTGTATGAGAGGTGGATTACACAAATGAATGTCATATTTATATTTCAAGATGTGGTTAAAATTGTGTGTGATGGACTATCTGCATTGGAGACAAATGCAAATGATGCTCAAAAGGATGCACATAACAAACAAAAGAAGAAAGATATGAAATCTCTCTTCTTGATTTATCAGTGCGTGGATCTGAATTTTTTTAGAAGATCATCGAAGAAGAAACGATCAAGGAAGCATGGGAAATCAACGCACAACCTCATGCTACCATTTTTCTTCTTGACCAACAACATCGACACTTCCCATAACGAAACACTCGGTCCAACAAACTTTTTCTCAAGCAACTCTTCTAATTGTTCCTTCAACTCTCCCAACTCTGATGTTGATATACGATATGAAGCCATCAACAGAGGTCTAGTACCAGGTACTAAATCTATGAAGAATTCAGCTTCACGATCTGGAGGTAAGTCACAAATATCTTCAAGAAAAAACATCAGGAAATTCTCACACCATCGACATCTCTCTATCCTCCACATTGTTCACCATTCTCAGAGAAACGATCATCACAAATACCTGGTCTTTCTCCATCAAAGACATCTCAACTTGAACGACAAACAAGAATCTCAAATCTATATTCTCCTTGGGTTTGAGAAACAACACAGTCTCAACAACATTTGAACTCTTGCAATCAGCGGCACGCTAATCCAACCCTCTACACCTAAAACATCTTAGAGAAGTGCAAACTTCTCCCCCACTTGTTTCAATCATGTTCCTATTGGAAAGCGGTTAGAAAAACAAACGATCACCGACAGTGTTTCACACACATGTCACATACTGAGAAACAACCAAAATTACACAACCTGGATGGATGGACCAACCTGCTCTGATACCACTATGTAACACTCTAAACCCCAAAATTATATAAAAAAAATTAATCGACAATTTAGGATGCTACTTGTCATACCCCAAATTTGTATTACCCTTTTGCTTTTGTCTAGCTTAGACTTTGCATTTTATTTGCATCATTTTCACTATGTCATTCTCATATCATTCCTCCATTCAATAAGGCATTGGTTCAAAGCATCAGTTGGTTGTGCCAGATAGGGTTTAATATTGGTTTGAGGCTTATATACTCAATAAGGTTGATTTCTCTGGTTCCTCTTTGAGCAGTGGGATGTGGATTAGGTTTTGAGGTATGGTTTCTATTTGTTTCTCCTTCTTCAAGTTACATGACTATTTTTCCATCAAGATTTCATAAAGATCAAATGCATCGAGGTTTTAACTTATGGTGTTTATATTTCATCATGTTTCAATTGAGGATTAGGGTTTTCATCTTGGTCTTCTTTGTTGCAAGTATCATTTCTCAAGGGTTCTTCAAGTCATTGCTTAAGATCATCAAGTAAAGAATAATTTTGTTAAGACAAAATACTTGTGGATTAAATTGAATCATGATACAAAAGTTGGAATTGTGAGTTCATTGTAATCAATGCATTCTTTCTCCCTCAAGTACTCGTTGCTCCCAATGCAAGAGGATTATGGTTTCTCATTTTTTCGTGAATAGGTTTGTTGATTCATCAAGAGCAAGTGGCTTAGGATTTTCATTTGTGTGAGTAATGGTTTGGTTCCTCATCAACTTCCCAAGTCATTTCTTCATCCTTGAGTATCCAAAATTAGAGGATTAAGGTACGTCTCATCATGTTTGATTTTGCTAATTCAATTGAGGTTCATTACCGTATGCATCTTCAATGCATTATTTTTGTGGTGGATTGAAGTATAAGTGCAATGGCATAAGAGATTTAACTGTAGACTTATCTTGATCAATACAATTTTTGGTTCTCCTTAAATACTTATTACTTCAATTGCAAGTTAATTTGAATTTTGAGAATTTAAGTTAGGGGTTCATTAAGATGTAATATTTGTCATTGTAATTTGGAGGTGAAGAATTATCAAGTGAACCAAGGTTTCTTAAAATGCAAGTAATTCATTCATGGTTCATTTTGTATTCAAGGAACAAGTTACATTCATCAAAATAATTCAAGGCTTTATTCAAGCATCTTTCAAGTGCTCCATTCAAAATTCAAAATCATATTATTCATCATCCATTACAAAATAAAATCAAGTTCATTAAAATTCATATCCAAAATTTATTCAAGTTCACAAGTTATATCCAAACATCATTCATTATTACATCCATGATTCATTACAAGGTTACAAAGACATTCATTGGTTCATACATCTTTGTGTTCATAAAATCATCATTATTTCAAGTTCACTCAACATTATGAAAGATACTATATCATTTGGAAAGCCTTGAATAAGAGAGAAGAATGTTACAATATTAAGATTACAACATTTGAACCATGTTTACCATTACACTAAGAGCTACAAAGAAAACTACACAGATTTTCTCACACTTATCCTAAGTCTAAGTCTAGAAAATTCAAGCTTCAATAATTCCATTTGCTCTAAGCTTTAAACCATGCCACAATCCATATCTTGCACTAACCAAACCAATTCATGATTTAAATCTACACCAAGATAATATCATAATGCCATAATCATAATCTTCATGACCAAGTTGTTGGAATGTAAATTTGTCCAAGAATGCACCCCAATATCATCCAACTTTGGTACAACAAATCTATCCAAACAAACCAGTCCAACACCTACTATGCTGTCTCTGCCTTGTCCCAATCCACTTTCTAACTTGCAGCCACCAAAACCTGGACAAAACCTATCCAACTTGCAGCCACCAAAACAACAACAAAAAACCAAGATGCTGCCTTATGCTTATGCTGCCTACAATAGTCCAAATTTTGCACGAAAATGGCAAAAACAGAAACCTGCAAGGAAAAAGCAATGAAACAGTATATCAAAACCAAATTTTCAACACTAAAAAATCCCTCCCAATTGATCAAATTTCCCCCTCAA